CACACACACACAATTCGAAAGTGTTTGAGTGAACTTGGCCAAAACATTTTTATAAAAAATAAGGGCGGCAACTATAACTTCCGAGGTAAATTCCAAAAATTTCAGTACACTCTGTGCAAGTACCTCTCTAATTGTAATTATATTTCTCCCAGCCTAACCCCTTATCTGCTGGTTCTCTATTTGGTTTATTGTTCTGGTTCAATAATGAGTCAAGTAAATTAATGTTTCCACATTTTTTCCTATTATAAACTCCAAAGGACCACTATATACTACATAACAAAATTTTTTTAGTATTTCATTTTGGTCTCCTTGTGAACAAATATTTAAAGCACTGTTTTCTTAGCCTCAAAAGATATTACTAACCTAAAACCACATAGGAAAGAACTGAAAAGTACAAGTAAATCTTATAAAACATCTTTAAATATGCTACTTGGTGATTCTAGAAAATGAGATTTACTCTGGAGAATTTATGCCATCTACACTTATTTATAAATTTACTTAATAGAAATAAATTGAGTCTTTTAGTTAATTTCTCCAGAATGATTTATTCTCTACTTAAACTTGGTTTTATAGTTTAAGACAATAATTCAGTAATATTTGTAATAAGCTTACTGAATTGCCAAAAGTATTAATTTTGGTTTATTCTTACTCTAATAATTTACACTAATTAAATTTCAGATTACTATTTAAAATATACTTTAACATTTCCATCAACAATTAAATATCTTTGTTCACTAAAGAAAATTGCTTAATAAGCACGTATCCAAAATATACATAGTATTTAACCACGTAGACAAAGTCAGGTTAACCAAAAATTATATAATTCGGATTGAAAATTAAACAAGATAATGACATGTAAAGTAATAAGTAGTTAACAGTTGCATAAGAGAGAACATGTTGACCTGAGAGGCAAGTCATTTATAACAACTAATCTCATTATATTGATTTTCATTTATAATGACCTTCTTCATAATTTAAATTTCAAGTAAAATACTCTAAATATGACAGTTTTTTCATAATTCAAATTGGACTGTCAATCATTTAAATAATAAGTGTTTAAAGATAAGACATTAAACATTGAGAAGTGACATGTTATTGGCCATGGCTTTAATTTTTTTAAACATAAAATATAGGAAGATTGATAACTTGGAAAGCAACAGAAATCTGATTTTTAAATAAAGCCAAGTGACTTTAAGGAAACAATTACTACTACTTGTTGTCCTAGTTATATAATTTCTTAGGAGTATTTATATAGTAGTGTCATCTCCAACTATTTGGGAGATGGGAAATTCCTTCATCTTTTTTATTTAAAGAGAAATCATATGACTTACCTCTAAAAAGGCTGAGAAGGATTTTTCAATCAAATGCTCCAACATTTGACAGACAATTCTTAATAAGACCAAATGTTATTCTGCAGAAAAATCCTACACAAAATCCTCATTACATAAATGTGTGAGAGTTTAAATATGCTTTAGGAAAAAAAAAAAAAAAAAAAAAACCTACAACGTCAGATCCCAGTGTGTGGTTTGTTGCCAGAGGAATTGAAAAAAAGAAAGAAAAGAAACCCACACACACCACACTATTAGTATGGCTCATAAGGTTCTATTTTTATGGTCTGGTGAAGACCCATTACCTATATCTGAGACACTCAGCGGTACTTTTTTTTTTTTTGGCCACTTTCCTATCCAAGTAAGCCAGAGGCCAGAGGGAAAAAAAAAGGAACTGACTTTCTGAGCTGCCCCTAATATATTGTTTTTCCTCGCAATCATTATTTCACGTGGAAAGGGTAAATTGAGAAGTATAATCACATTCTCACTTCCCTGTCATGACTAAGCTTGCAAAACTTACCTCATTAAGTATAAATAAAATATACTTTTCTATACAGCATAGATCTGAAATACTTTGAAACTAATAAGTCTGAAAACAAATGGAAATTGTCAATCAGCAAGGATGACAAACAGACTTAAAAAAGGAAATAGCCCATTGTTCTGGCTGGAAGTTCTTAACTGTTTATCATTTTCTGCTAGTTATACAGAAGCTTCATAAGTACAGCACAGTCCTCCTACAAAAAATAAATCCCTTAAACATCTTCATCCAAATCTTGACTATTAATAACATTTAAATAGAATTATTATTGAGGATATTTAAATGTAAAAAAAGTATATAGTTAAGTCACTTTCAAAAAGAGCATTATTTTCATATTGAATCAAAGTAGGACACTTTGCACTTTGGGGAATGAAGGACCTACTATATTTTGACCCCGTTCTTACAAAAAATTTCTCAAAATCATGCAGGAAAAATCTTCAGAAGGGTACACTGGCATATATCCAATGGATAGCTGAATAAATGCCTTCAATCAACCTCGAAATAAAGCAAACTAAGAATAACAGGCAGAAATATATTTAGTTCACCAGATCATATTTAAGCTAGTCTTTATCATTAGATTGCTTGTGCTGTCTTTTCTTGGCATATGAGTCATACAATGAATCCTTTCATTGTAGTTCGATACATTTGGAAGGGAACCCAAAACACTCTTTTCTCCTCAAGCATTGGTTTCTGCTTTCAGAGTATTTTTTATGACACTTATTTAAAAATTAGTAAGAAGTCATAAAATATTTTAAGTATTTTTTCCAAATTTTAGAGCACTTAATTAGGATAAAGTAGCCATGGACTTGTGTAATCTCATTATGATTTTCATTTAAAAGAATAACTTACAGAGAAGTCAGGAAACTGAAAAAGGTAATTCCCTTAAATAACTATGACCTTTTATCTTGGTTGTATGATATAAACAAGTAGTATAAAAGCTAGTACATATTTTGATTAAGAATGTCTATTTTGCAGATATCTATTTTGTTTTCAAGCCACTTTGATCTATTTTCTTCTCAACTATAATTCTCACACATACAAACACCAATATGACAATTCAGAAATAGCTTACCGACACAAGAGTTCAGATAAGACCTGTTTTAAATATATTTTAAACACATTGAATAGCTAAATCATAATGAAAATATGAACACTATTAGAGGAAGGCATTTCAGAGAAGATGCAAAATAGACGTCTAGGTTCACACTGAACTTACTTGAATCATTATTTAGTCAGTAGCCTAATGCCATCCAAATCTTCTGTCACTGGAGAGGAAAATGTCACACAGTCTCATGAGCAGTCTGAAGAATCAAATTTACATTCCCAGAAGCAGCTATTAAGTGTTCAATCTCACAGACAACAGTTCCTGCGTAGCTTAGTGCACAAGCCCCAGAAAGCAAACAGCTGAATCAAATCTGCAACCATGGATTTTGAGGAAAATATACACCTTGAACAATAAGGCAGAAAAATGCTGTACCCATTTTAGAGTAAAGAATGTTGGGTTTTTCATTTTTGAAAGAATATGCATCCACCAAATTTTGAAGGGATTTTATATGAGAGTACACCTTGCCTTGTGTAAATCCATCATAGCACTTGATAAATGTGTTAGAATGACAGGAGAAAATGTTCAATATAATTAAGTCAGCTTAGGCACAATTCTTTGGAAGTTCTTTTTTGTGAGAGAACATACAGGGTTAGAAATCAGACAGACATAAAACTGAATCCTGACCATACCAGGCACTAGTTATATTGACTTGAAATTAGAAGTTAAATAACTTCATTCCTTTTTTTTCTCCCAGCTTTGTGGAGACATAAATCAACAAATAAAAATTCAAGTTGTACATGTTTTGATATACATATACGTTGTAAAAAGGATCCACAAACAGGGTAATTAACACACCCATTGCTCTTATTTTCTTACTCAAGAAGTTGAGAAAACTGAGAGGGAAAATAAGAATTAAATGAGGTGAATAGTGTACAACATTTGACAGGGGGCTGCCAACTACTGGGCACTCAAACAACACTTCCGTTCTCATCACCCCTTCCTGCAAGTCTCCTTCCCATTGTACTTTCTCCGCTTAGTTTTTCACAGGTTGCTTATCAGCATCGGACAAACCATGACATTGACTTGTTTTGATCCTGTCTTTGCACCTGCTAGAATGGTTCACCGCTGAACCCTCGGAGCACAGAACAGGCTCATAGTTGGTAAGCAGTTAAATAAATGGACATAAAAAACAATCAATCATTGTAACCATAATATTAATATTTTAATAGTGAAAATGAATGGAAATGAGAGGCTATTGTGCTGCTTGTTCACACCATGTTAGTAGCAATGGTTTGATTGGAATTAAGAATATCTGCTAAGAAAGTAAATGGACCCAAGACTGAATTTGGAATTCATCACTTCCTAAGCATATGACTTGCTGCTAACTACTGTAACTGTTAGCCATAGTGAAAAAATCTCCCTCACACAATTCTTGCAAAGATTAAGAGTGGTAATATGAAGGATTTAGCACAGAGCCTGATGTATAGTTTTAGTTTAATAATGATTATCATTGGCTATTACTAAAAGTTTTAGGGAATTTATTAAATACAGGCAAGTAAAAAATATTGAAAATTATTGAAAGGTATGAAATGAGAAGTCTCTTTCAACTCTCAATTCTCTTCCTCAGAAGTCACCAATGTTGGGTCTATGTTACCCTCCCCCTCAGTAACTTTGTAATTTAAAACTTATATACATAGCTATATATATAATACATATATTAAATCATATTTTGTGCAACTTGCCTCTCACAAGTGCCTTGGAGGTATTCCCATATCATGAATAGAGTTAACCCTTTATCCATTATTGCAAAATATTCTATAATGATGTGTTATCTTTTAAATGTCCAGTCCCCTATGTCACTATTTCTAGTTCTTTGCTCTTACAAAAACAATACAAAATATTCTTGTACATGTAGTTTTATATACCTGTGCTAGGACACCAGTAAAAAGTGGGAAGTGAAATTTCTGGGACAAAAGTGTGTACTTTTTCTTTGGTAGGGAGAATTTTCAAAACTTCTATTTATACAAGCACACAACAATGTGTGAGAATGCCTGTCTCCATACATCGCTTACACTGGTTTATGCTGAACTTAGAGGTTGTTTCTAACAATTATGTTGGGGTTGTTTTTTGCAAATATTAAATTGACTGAAGTTTAACCGATTTTCTAAAGTATATTAGCTATTTTTGTTTTAAAACTTTTCAAACAATATTATTGCCCATTTTCCCCCCACGGTTTGGTTTGTTCTTTCCTTATTAATTAGGAAAAAAATAGTCTCTGACATTTGACAATTTTTTTTAATCTGACAATTTAGTTTTATTGTATGTTTAAATTAACGAAGTTTTTATTTTTTATTCCATGACCTTTCAGTCATTTCCTTTTAAGGATTATTTCATGCTTCAAAAGGCTCTCTCCACTTGGAGAATATGAAAAACAATAAAGTTTCTTTCAGCATTTTCAGGGTTTTTAAAAATGCTTTTAACATCATTTTTAGATAAGCTGATTCATGGAATCTAACACGAAGTAAAAGAGGAAGAGTACATAAGTTGAGTAACAAATATTGCAACATATTTGAGAAGCAAATGACAGAAGCATTATGAGTCCTAGAAGGAGGATCACATGGCCCAATTCTGACCACAGCTTTATTAACAACAGGATTTGTGAACTAGGCAAGACATAGTATTCTATTCCTGACGTCCCTTCTTGTCAAAGAAGATAAGCATATGGAGTCTACCTATACATTCAAGCTGAATATCAAATCAGATAGATTTAAACTTAAAAATGTAAAGCTATATGTAGATATAAGGATTGGTAGTTTATAGTACTAGATAACATTTAAGTGAATTTTTTTTTTTTTTTTTTTTACAGTTCAGCAAAGGAAACACATTTCAGTATAATTAGCATTGTAATTCTAGATTGTACAGGCAATCAAAGACTTGTAAATTATGAAGATGATGATGACACACTAACAGAGTTAACACATATTGGGAGCTTACTATCTGCCTGCCAGGTGTTAGGCTAAGTGTTTCACATGTATTACTGTTAAGTAGGTAGGATCTCCAGCTCTTCTAGGGACAAGAGTGCCCTGCTTTGGTGCTGCCTTGAGCAATTGCCCCATCTGGGAAGAAGGATAAGGGTAGGCACTTTGTTTTGTTTTGGCCTCACCACTAATCCTATCCAGGGCAACTGCTACACCTGGGGGAGGAGAGGACACTTTACCAATCTGGGAATTCCCCAATCCTGGCATAGTAGGTTTTGGAAAGTGACCTCGAGTAACCTAAGGTTAATTATGTATTAGCTTAAATCTACATTGTAGTTCATCTCATCCCCTCAACCTCTCCCCTCCTACCCCAGCCTTTCAGAGAAGGAGCTAGCATAGAAGATACAACCTTGAGAACACCTGTTAATCATTTCGTAACATCCCACATCTCCCAAAGCCCTTTCCCTGACCAGGCCAATACAAGGAAACAACTCAAGAATTCCCAGAGAGAGAGTCAATCTGTCTCTATCCGCTTGTGGAGACAGACTTGTTTCATTTTATAATAAAAAGTTACTCATGTGAAACTGCTTCCTACTTGGGGTCATTCTGTCGCATGGGTCCTGCTTGTGATTTTTTTTCCAAGGAAGGAGCCAAATAA